ACTTGGGCCCATATCCTCTTAGGCTTTTCTAGTCTATATATTCTCTACTTATGGACAAAATTTGGGCTCAAAAGCTTTTTGACACCTCGGAAGATTCCCTCGTCAGTATATTCTATTGAATGAGATATGCATGATTGAAAACAGAGTTGAATATTTTGGGTATTAGTGTTAGTTTGTACTGGAAGTATTGCCTTCTATGTTATGCTTAGTATTAAAACAACAGCAGAATATAACACAAAAAGAAAAATTGCATATATGAGATGTCGTGAGAAGTACGAGTTCATAAGAACTTTTGTTTTTTTCCTCCAATTAATAATGACATTCAATATTTCAAAAATATTCTTTTCATTGTTTTAGATCTAAATAATCGATTTTATTTATGAGAGTTAAAATCTTAGGTTACTTCAATATTTACGAAATTAAATTTAACTATATTTAGATAGACATTTATTCTTTATTACATGACCTGAATGGTTTCAAACGCGAAGTACAATAATAATCAAATGCATGAATAATTACAAACAACGATAAACTAAAATGATAGAGTAAAGAATAAATACATATTGAAAATGACGTCGTCTTAGAAAGAGAAGAACATGATAAAAAAAAAAAAGAAAAACTTGTCTAAAGATAAAAGATCTTTGTGATACAAATAATAGGATAATTTATGATAAAAAATTAAATACTAACAAATTACAAAATCAAATGAGAAAAAATACAACTTTCAATGATTTATTGACTAGATAATACAATCAATATATTCTTACTAAAATAACTATTCAATAGAACTACAAATGATGACAACACAATAATATTTTAATGTAAAATTGTAATCAAAATTAAGTTAAACAAAGATTTTTAGACGTTAAAGACCGACAAAAGAAAAACCGTCAAAAGAAATGAAGAAATTTTAACATCAATATAAAGCATACTAATTTTATTTTATTTTTTATATCAATAAAAATGCTTTTATATTTGTCCGATAATTATTCTTAATTTAGTATTTTTGTTTCATAAGAATGATTCTCTTTTAAAAACAAAACAAACTATACATTATAGAGTATTTTCATTGAAATTTTTCCATTATGTTGAATTATTTCATTCATCTATCTCATTGGTTTTGAATAAGAATTAAAGACTTGTAATATCATTATTAATTTGAATTAATGTCTAATAACCGGTCTATGTTTAGCATCATTTCCGATTGGTTCAATACGAGCATTTTGACGTAAACAATTACATCGCCATATAAATCGTATTAATTTTTTTAATTCATTACGAAACATACTAGAAGTCATTGTATATAAATAAAATGATAAAGTTGGAAACAGATAAACAGTTAATGATGCTAAATATGCAGCAAATCGTTCAATCGTCATTCGTTCAATTGATTTATTTTTAATATTGAGTGTTGTTGCATTATAAAAATGTGAACACATCAATGGAATAATTGTAATGATAAATACAATGACTTGAACAATTAATAAAAGTAAAACTTGACGATCACGTCTTCGTTCTTGTTCTCTTGCGTCATTGTTCGTACCTGGATGTTGAGTAATAATGAATTGACGACGTTTTCGTTTAAGAACAAGATTATGATAAGTTAAAAATGCACAAACAATCATAATTGTTGCCGGAAAAATACATCCAGTAGTAAGTGTAAAAATACTATGATAATATAATAATGGAGCATGATGAAAAATATTCTGTGAATTCACATTTCCAGTATTAAAGATAAGATTATGTATAGGCAACACAAGCCAAACAGCTATAATAATAACAATTGTACGACGAGCTATATGCATTTTAGCAAAATTTCTTAAATTTAAATCAGCTGATGTAAGTGCATATCGATCAAAACTTGCTGCAACTAAGCACCAACGATACATCATTGAAGTGCATTGAAGTATATACGTGTTTACTCGAGAAAAAGTAGGTGATAATGCATAGAAATGTCTTGGATTGAGAAAAAATAGAGTTGTTCCAATACCGAAACATAAATTGATTAACATTATTATAGATGTTGCTGCCATATCTGTTCAAATAAAGTTAATAATTAAAAATTTATTTTGCATTTTCAATGAACAAAACTAACAAGGGAACCACCCGAGGTGATAAAAAGCTTTTCGGTCAGGAATATAATGGTTAGGTAGGGCATAGCTAGGAGTGATAAACCCCAAATTAGTTCGGGCGCAAGTTGCTTCTAGCGGGAGTTATGAAATGTGAAATTTAGGTATAAAAATGAATCAGGGAAGATTTTCTTCACTATTGTAAGGACAAAATATAGTGTT